GAAGGGGAGTGGAATGTAGATCATGGATGTGGTTGATGAATATGAGAGGAAAGGGGGAACGGAGGAAAAGGGAAGAGAGAAAAAATTGATTATTAGATTAATAGATCGGAATGTGATGAAGGATTGATTACGATTGACAAACTGATAATAATTGATCCACATGTCACGAGCACTAATCAGCTGCCTGACTGACATGTGATGGGAATAAAAAAAAAACAAAAAAAAACGACTGCTTGACTGACTGACCGTTCGCGTTTCTCTGACATGTCTCTTTGCAGTCTCAAGGGCAGAGATGAGCCCAGACGAGAAGCCCAGCCTCTCCGCTTTCATCTCTGAGCGTCGCATCTCTGACGTCCATTTCCTGTGTGAATCCCCGTCGTTTCGCGTTTACGTTGTCGGGCCATTTTCTTGTTTGTCTATAGTTTTGTCTTTCTTTTTTTTTTTCTTTCCTGTTTTTTTTTCTTTTTTTTGGGAGGGGGAGGGTATGTTTGTCTTTTTATATTTTTTTTCTTCATTTGTTTATTATTATCATTATTCTTATAATTATTTTTACTGTGGGTCGAGTCACCCTTCGTTTCATCCTCGCTTTCCTCGTCGTCGTCGTCATCTTCCTCCTTCTCCTCCTTCTGTTTCACCTCCTCCTCCTCCTCTTCTTGCTCTTCTTCATCCTGTTTTACTTCCTCCTCCTCTCCCTCCTCCTTCTTCTCCCCTACCTGCATCTTTTATCCCCCCTTCCTCCTCCTCTCCCATATCCCCTCCTAACCCTATCCTACACCATCTCCCCGTCCCCCTCCCTTTCTTTACTCCACCCCCATTCCTCCTCCTCCTCCTCCTCCTCCTCCTCCTCCTCCTCCTCCATCTCCTCCTGCCTCCCCAAACCCCCCCCCCCCCCACACACACAACCGTCTTGGGAATCGGCCGATATTTAAGAGGATTAAAAACTTCCTCCGGCCGCCCTGCCTCGCTGATGGCGTCGTGTTCAGCGGTCTCGGGCCCAAAGATCGCGGAGGATTGCGGCGGCTGGGTTGGCACGTGGGTGTTGTTGTTGTTGTTGTTGTTTTTATGGTGTTGTTTGTTTTTTTTTTCGGTTGATTTTGGTTGGGATTTTTGTGTTTGTTTGTTTTATGTTTTTTTGTATATTGTCTCTGATGTTGATTGTTATGTCTGGGTGAGGTTGGGGAGTTGTGTTATCATTTGGCCTATTTTTCTGTTTGTCAGAGGTATATGTGCACACATACACACACACATGCGCGCGTATAGGCACACAAACACACACACACACACACACACACACACACATACACACACACACATATATGTATGTATGTATATATGTAAGGGATAATGGAGAGGGGAGAGTTCATTGTAACACAGAGAATAGGATTGGATGATCAAATCGTTCAAATCTTCATAAAAAAATATTTCGTTCTCATTTATATTTTGTCGATAAAGTAAAAAGCAATAATATAATGACCCAAAGAAAAAAAAGAAGAGGGAAGCACGGAAGCATTACAATAGAGAGAAGGGAGACTGTGTATAAATCTGGCTAATGAATAGGTAAATGATATAGGCAGAGGGAGAGAGAGAAAGGTTAGGGGAAGGGAAGGTAAGAAGGGGGGTTGTCTGGTAGGTAAGTAGGGGAGGAGCATGCAAAAAGGTACATGATCAAAGGTAGGGAAAAGTAAGGAGGCAAGGGAAGAGGAAAGGAGAAGTGGGGGGAGGGGGAGCAAGGAGCGAAAGAGGGAGGTGAAGAGGGGAGGGGAGAGACAGAGAGAGGAAATGGGGGGGGGGGAGGCAAGGAGCGAAAGGGGAAGGGGAAGAGGGGAGGAGAGAGACAAAGAGAGGAAGTGGGAAGAGGGGAAGGGAGAGGTAAGGAGAGGAAGTAGGGGGGGAGGGGAGAGGCAAGGCAGTGAAGGGAAAGGGGAGAGCTAAGGAGGGGAAGAGGGGAGGGGGGAGGGGAAAGATATATGGATGGAAGAAGTTGGTTCTCCCTTGCGTGACTGTCAATCAATGTGACTGTCGTTGGGGGCATCTTATCTGAATTACCGCCTCCTAGTAGCCTCTCTCCCCGTCTCTTCGTTCTTCCCTTTTTCCTCTTTCCTTCGTCTCTCTTTCAGTTTCCTTTTACCTTCGTCTCTCTTTCATTTTCCTCTTTCCTTCGTCTCTCTTTCAGTTTCCTTTTACCTTCGTCTCTTTTTCATTTTCCTCTTTCCTTCGTCTCTTTTTCAGTTTCCTTTTACCTTCGTTTCTCTTTTATTTTCCTTAAACCTTTGTCTCTTCCCTCTTACCTTCGCGTGTCCCTTTTCCTTCTTATATTTGTCTCTCCTTCTTCCCTTCGTCTTTTCCTCTTCCCATCTACTTTTGTCTTTCTCTTCCCTCTCATCTTCGTCTCTCCCTCTTCCATTTTACACTCTACTCTCCCTCTTGCGTTTCTCTCTCTCTCTCTCTTCTCTCTCATCTTCGACTTTCCTTCTTCCCTTTTACCTTCGTTTTCCCTTTTCCCCTCTTTCCTTTGTCTCTCCATCTTCCTTTTTACTTTCGTCCTCCTTTCGTGCCTCTTACCTTTATCATTCCCTCTC